ATAATTTTAAAAAGTGAGATGCCCTGTTGGCTTTAGAGTTGCAACGATACCGCAAAAGGCATTCAATTCGTGGGTACATCTTGTGAGCCATTCCCAATTCTCATCATGATGAAGGTTTAACATTTAGTTTCATGATTTGGAACACCATCAGACCTAGACACTGCTGCCTGCCGCTGACTGTCCCACACACACACTCAGAGTAAAACGTAACAGTGTTATGTATGGTTTCATCGCTTCGTATAGGCCATAATCACCCTCTCTCCATCTCAGTAAGCTCATACTAAATGACCAGACGTCTCTGGTGGCTGCCATGATTTTTCTCTCCGTTACGCATTGTGCCATACCTCACTCCCTCCCTCTCTCCATCCTTTCTACCATATGTTGTGCCCGCGTGACCGGCCAACGTGTCGGGCCTGACTAACGCCTTAACAGCACGGTTGACGTTGATTTATTTCCTCTGAAATCAGGGGGCTGAGGGTAATAACACAGAATGACATTATTTGTTTATCAAATCCATGGCTGTATTTCTTGGCAGAGTAAAGATGTGATGACTTGATACTTGTGTCCCCCTTGCTATACATACATATGAATCCCTCAACTCTCCCTGCAAACTTTTGATTGTGCCCTTATTAGAAGGCTTTGTCTGTTGTTTAACCTTTTGATCTTGGAAAGTTTGAAGTGAAAAGGAGCAAAGGAAATAGCGAGTGATAGTATGCAATGAAAGGCAGGAATTGATGACTGGACTACGAGTATTTGTGGCCAGGTAAGCAAATGTAGAGTGAATTGCAAAAGCATTCGTGTTGGTAAGAAAAACAGTCAATTTCAGAAAATGTCAATTTAAAGCCACAGACTTAAACATCTTTAATTATGTTTAAAGGCAACACTTTAAGCAGTTTTGTAAAGTAGAGCAGTCCCCCCCAATTTTGTAAAAATACTTAAATTGAGTGAAATTGGATGGAGGGCATGCCAGCAGGCATTTTCAATTTTTTTTCAAAGAATCTTGACTATTTTATGAGACTGTTGTTCTAGTTGTATGTTTAGGGTTTTTGTTGTGTTGGAAGATTGATATCATCCTGAACTCAAATTTTGACACCTTTAATTATCTTTTTAATTTTTTTGTTTTTCCGTTGTTAGTTTGAGCCTGCCACCACCATAGTTCATGGTTGTGCTAATTTGATAAAGGTAATGTGCAGTGTCAGTTTTTTGAGGCTTAAGGTACAGTAAACTGTAAATTGGATTACTCGTGGGTTATTTAACAGCTTCCCTCTTTCCACTATTCCATAAGGTTTTTGAAGGGCATGGCCAATAGTTGTCTTTAGAAGAGATTTTCCCACCTTAGCTGCAGAGCTTTACATCTCCTCCAATGTTACTATATGGTTACTTTGTTTTAATCTATTACACACATTTCTCAGTAGAATAGAAAGACATTTGTGGCTTGGTATCAAAATATGGAAAAGTCGATGCATCGATGACTGGTGATAAAAAAAAAAACAAAAAAAAACATCATGGAAATTATTTCCTGTCCCCATAAAGCATATATGTTCACATGTTCTGTGTTTCACAAAAAACTAATAAACAAAAAGAAAAAAAAAACAAAACAACAGAATAAAAGGGTATCTGTATTTAACAGAATATACTGTAGTATCACCTTGTACCATTTTAATGCATGAATACTAGATGGACAGGAAACATTGAATTTGCTTGGGAATTTGGAATTCCACAAAATAAGTAGATCTAATTTTCTATAAATCCCAGTGTTCATAAAGAGTGTGTATTAAAAACGTCATCTTCACCTTCTGTTATCAGCACTGTGAATGGTATATCCTAGAGCACAATGCTTACGTTGTAGGACCCAATGAAAGAGTAAAAGGACAATCTCAAAGACGGCACTCTAGATAACAAACTGGCCTCTCCCAATAATGAGCAACTTTGGGTTGCCTTTCTTTTCTCTGTGATGTGGGGGAAGATTGGGTGGTGTTGGTGGAGGGAACTGAGATTTTTTGCCAGCTTGTGCCAGTGTGTTTTATGGCTAATTGAGGCATTTGGAGTAAAACTACCTCAAAATTGCACCCTTTAGAATTGGAGCAGGGTTAATATATAGTGATCCCACAATTAGCCCGGGATTGTTAAGATCTCTTTAAATCTGTGAGGTCCATTAAGCCGAGATGGCCGAGAAAGAGGTTCCACAGAGACAATTTTTTCCCTCTCCGCTCTTTGTTTGTCCTTTCCTCTCTTCCTCTTAGTAGCTGCTGCTGTGGTGATCAATATAAACAATGTCAGCTTGTTGGCAGGTTATTCTGTCATTTTACAAAGGGTCACACGGTTACAGCTCTTTTTTTTTTTTTTTTACTGATGCAAAAGAAAGAGATTAGTTATTGGTAGCAGACTCATGTTAGTTTAAAGCGTTGATGATGATACCTTAGCTGGTTTGGAAAAACTTGTCCTCCTGGCCATAGGTATTAGATCATTTTCTCTCTTGGGTAGAAACTATCACTGTGGTTTGCTCCTTACCCCAGTTTCTCAAATCCCCACTTGGCCCTGCAAGTGCCTCTGCGAGAGGAAAAGCAAGCAGGCTGCCTCCTGATCATCACGACTCAGGCTTTTTACAAGTGTGTCTCTCAGAATATGGAAGTTGCTTCTGAGTTATCTTTCGGGGATACATAGCACCTGTGGGAGACTGCAAATTTGGTGGATGTTTTTCAAACAGGATTGAGCTAAAAAGCAACAATTGAGCGAACCTCACCCAATAAATTCACCCAACTCCTTTGTGAAGTGTGACATACATACAGAGTCTAGCTTTTAATGGGGCAATTTATTACTTTATTTTTCTTAGCATGCAAATTTATAGGTTTAAGTGGGATGAAAGAGATGGATAAAACTGCACCCAAGTATGCAGTTGATTGGGTGGTTGATGAGTAACGGCTAAACAGATGGCTGGCACATCAAAGACCCATTTGTGATCATCTAAAATTATACTAAATTTTAATTTCTTGCGCAAGATGTCTTTTTGGACTAAGCCGAGGCCTGAGCTTTATCAGCAGGTAGTAGCAATTTGCTTAGTGCTCAGGTAATGATTTGGGAAGCAGGAGAAACGGTGAGGGCTTCAGTAGCACTATGTTCCAGCACAGTGGATTTTAAAGCTTCTTGCAAGTAATTAAGCAGCATGCCACCTCATACAGAGCAATTTCCTGCAAGGCATTAGCTGCCAATGCAGCATGGCTTCAGTACACCGTGTTATCTCTGTGAAATATGTCCTCTCTATCATTTTTTAATAATAACTGACTATTTATATTGATAGGGAAAAATTGCTCAATGATTTCCTGAATAACAACCTTAACTAGTTCAGAGAAAAGTAAAGATGTGTTTCTAATTTAGCGTGCCTTCTTATTTGTTAACCTAACTTTGTTTCAGTGCAGCTTTGCTGGACTCGAATTTTGGGTCCAAGAAGCTGCCTGACTTTTCCCCACGGCATAATGATGGCCACGTCGTCACAAGTGACGATAATCCTGCATAAAGGGATTTGTTCCTCTACGGCTGACAACAGAATGTCCCAGGGCAAAATACTGTTTATCTTTCCACTCTCTTAAAGTTGCCCTTCTGGGCTTTTGGGGCCCAAGAACACTTCTTACACTTGCATTGCCTGTAAACAGGACAGGGCAATGCATGCACTAGAAAACATCCACCCTACTTTCAAACAAGCTGCCCTGTCAGTCTTAATAGTAAACTGCATTTGGACATTTTCTGTTATTTCTGCTATTCCCTCCTTCCGCTTGGATGAGAATCGGTATCAGATTCATCATAATCTAATCTGTGAATTAATCATCATACTATAAGGCTGAAATTGATGCTAAACTACATATTTAAATCAGTTGCAGGATTCATTTGCCATTCCTAAGAATTGCTTAGCCAATACCATCCCACTCCAGCCCACCGTGTTGATCCATTACAGGCCAGACATCATTAGGATCTATGAGTACCATTTTTAGATTATTCTAATTTCTCTTCAAGAAAGCAGATTAACTGATTAACAACATTTGTTAGTAATTTTTATGTTTTTGTTCCTAATCATTTGTCAATTAATATTTGTAGTTGGAGCATGTTTTTATGTAGTCCATGTTCAACTGACAAATTATATGTGAAAATTAAAAAGTTTCTATTAGAACCAGATTAAAGCCTCACTGTTTTAACCTAGTTTGGTGGTAAATTCCATCCACCCAAAAATAAAATGGATTTCTGACTGTAAAAACTGTTAGCAGCTTACTTTTCTGTGCAACTGTATTGGCAACACGTTATGTACTTAATTACTTCTGTCCTTAATTACCAAATTATGTTTTTATAATTTGTTTAGTTATCCATAGTCCAACAGCTATCCATGATTGTTCCCTAGATTCCCATTTATAATGATATAATTATTAAAAAAAGGCATTTTATCAGTTTTTCTAATCTGACATTTAAAAAAAGTTCTGAAACCAGATCAGAATGCTTTACTTTTTCAGTAAACACTCATGTTTTTCCTTAAAATACATATAATCTGTCAAAGCATTTTAAACATACCCAGTTTGTTTAGCATTAGACTAATGCTTGCCTACATTTTATAGGGGATCCAACCTTTTTAGTTCTAAATAGTAGAGACAACCTTTGCTTATTTTTTTCTTGCTGCATTAAAACTCTCTATACCAGAATGGACCCCCTGTCTTCTTTCTGTCAGTCTCAATAAAGGTTTTCCTCTTGGACATATTATTTTGGTCCAGTAAGCCGTATGCTTAAAATATGAGGACACACTTGAATCACATGTGCACAGGGAGATTTTGTTGCTCTGAATCCTGCCAGAATGAAGCAGCTGTTGCAAAAGATATTAACAGTGAAAGCTTAAGTGCATGCAAACACTGCCATTACCCCACTCTAAAAAATATAAATTCAGCTTCTCTTGTCTAATATGGCCTATATTTCTTGTCTTTCTGTGTTTTTTCCCTGCCTTCTTCATTTCCCCCCTTTCTAAGAAGATAGATGAAGAAAATGAGGCCAACTTACTGGCAGTGCTTACAGAGACCCTGGACAGCATCCCGGTGGACGAGGACGGGCTCCCTTCATTTGAGGCCCTGGCAGATGGGGACGTGACCAATGCAAGTGACCGGAGCTGTGCCTCCTCCCCAGATGCCTCACCTCACACCCCAGAGCCTGAGGAGCCTTCTTTGGTAATGCAACCTTCAGATTGTTTGCAACCTGGGGTGTGATTTTTTTCATTATATTTATTTAGAATACTTGGGTTCCTACACAGCTTTGAAATTGTCTGGTTTTGAATTTTATTGAATTCATGTCTAGGTAGGGAAAAGAGTTGAAAACATAGTAAGGAAAAAAGCTGTTATTTCAGACAGCTTTATAAATTTCTTTATAACTTTGCATCCATCCATCCATCCATCCATACATCCATACATACATCCCATCCATCCAACCTACCAACCAACCAACCAACCA